CTTCCAAGGTCCTAAGGAACTGTACCTCCTACTCAGAGAGAGGCCCCCGAGCTTTAGCTGCTGAAGGACACTGGCATCTTCCCAGGCACGGGACACCACTGGCTGAGACTCAACTGTGTAAGAAATCAAAAGGAACTTTTTGTTTCAGACCTTAACTTGAGAATTTGGGACTTTGAATTTTAACTCACAATCCCAAACATTTTTGATTTTGGAGTTTAATTTCTTGGACTTCAACTTGCAAGCAAATTAAAATTGGGCTTTAATTTTTTTCTGGGAAATTCATGATGGAAACAGGTTTCTACTCAAATCAAGAGCACCTCTAAGTGACTGGCCTTTTTCTTTAACCTCACTTCTTTAACCTCTGATGAGCTATACTAGATACCATGACTGGATAGAATTGGGAACAGGAAATCGAATAAAACTAGTTGCTGTCTAGTTAAGTGTTCCATAGGGTTTTCAATCGCTGATTTTTCAGAAGCAGATTGCCAGGCCTTTCTTAGAGGCACCTACAGGCAGGTTTGAACTGCCAACCTCTCATTTAGTAGGTGAATGCTTAACTGTTTTCACCACCCATAGGTTTCAGCAACAGGTACATTATATTGCATTCAATATAATGAATGCATTATTCTGATCCCTTTTAGTACCTTTTGAGGCATAAGCTAAACTCCCAGCAGCGGTCCCATGAGCATCAAAAAAGAAAGGTGGCTGATCTCCTCCCCCAGGAGGCCCACCACACTCCTAGTTGGCATAAACTTAAAGATTAAGCCCATGAGTCAAGGGAACAAAACTCAGAATATGTTGTAGGAGAACATCTTTTCCCCTGGCTCCATGCCTCCATGCGGAGAGACCTCCTGTGTTCCTCTCTCTGATTAGCACATGCTCCTCCCCAGGGCAAGAGCAGCTTATCTAACTGGCAAGTTTTGGAGAAAGAACAGGACATGAGCTCCTCACCCCTTTCCTAATTGTTCTCAGATTTGCTAGCAGGAGGAAAACGTTCCATAGTCTAAGATGGGTGATACAGTGGCCCAACGATGGACTCACACTCAGCAACAATCATGAAGGTGGCACAGGACCGCCACAACTCAGAGCCCTCTCAACAGCAATGAACAACAGAACAGTTGTGCTTCCGGGCACACAGTAAGGCGACAGGCTGCTGCAGGAAGCACGGCTTTGCTGCTGTTCAGCCCTACCTCTGCCTGCATTCAAGTCCATCCAATTCAAGGGTGGCTCTCAGACTAACCATTTTCCTGCAGCATCTTTATCATGAATAAAAGTGGCACCTGATCTCCACTATCTCCGAACTAAGGAGCTCTGGTGGCACAGAGGTTCGAACTTACTAGCTGCTCCAGAAGATAAAAGATGTAGCAATTGGCATCCATAAAGATACAGCCTTAGAAACCTATAGAGAAGTTCTACTCTGTCCTATAGAGTTTCCATAAATCACAATCAACTCGACGGCAGTGGGTTTGGTTTGGGATCTCTGACCTTGAGAGAGAAAAGAAAGAAGTGCTTTGACCCTTTATACCCAACAATTTGGTCAATCCTTTCTATACATTTGTTCTCTATACATTTATGGTCATTTTTAATTATTTTTTTCCTTCTACTTTTATTGGGCTTGTTCTGGATTTTTTTTTTTTTCCCTCAACTGCTTGAGTGGTACAATTAGCTCAGCATTTTTAAACTTTCTTCTTTTCCAATACAGGCATTTAAAGGTATAAATGTCCCTGGAATTACCACCTTGCTAATATCACGTAAGTTTTGATATGCAATATACTTTGTGATTCAGTTCTAAATTGGTCATTTCTATGTTAAAGTGTTCATTAATCCATGGTTAATGAGCAGTATTTTTTTAATTCCAAATGAATGGCAGTTTGGGGTCTTTGGGGGAAGGGTGTTACATTAAGGATTGAATTGAGCCAAAAAAAAAAAAAAAGTTGGAATCCTAACCCCTGTACCTGTGGTTAAGATCTTGTTTAGAAAGAATGTTTTCTTTGTATTGTTAATTAGATCCTATCTGAGTAGGTTGGGTTATACATCTAATCACTGCTGAGTTTTAAAAAGAGCACATTAGACACAGATGAGGGCACAACTGGGGGAAAAAGACAGTTGCCATGTGAGGACTATGTACAATCCAAGAAACCAAGAAACACCCTGGGCTGCCAACGAGGAAGGAATCTACAAGGCTGAGACCATTATTTGGACTTTCAGCCTCCAGAACTGTGAGAAAATAAATTCCTGTTTTTCAAAGCCACCCACTAACGGTATTTCTGTTACAGCAGCCCTAGGAGTCTAAGACAGATGGACAGCCAATTTTTGACCTTGTGGCATTATGTTCAGAGAATGTCATAAAATTAGATTTGATATTGATTCTCTAGGTACACGGTGATACTTCCTTGGTGGCCTAATATATAATCAGTTTTTACAAATTTCAAGTTGTGCTTGAAAATAATGCATAGTCTCTAGATTTGGGAGTGCAGGTTTTATAAGATCATCTATTTATAGTTTATATGATCCTCATTAATTTGTTTCTGCTTGATCTATCAATTTGCTGAAAGAGGTGTGTTAAAATCTCCCATGACTGTGGGTTTGCTGATTTCTCCTCTGTCCATTTCTCCTTCATATTCTGAGGTTATATTATTGGAGGTTTGCAGAATTGGAATTGTTCATTTTCCTGGTGAATTATTCTCTTGATTATTATTTAATCACTTCTTTATCCCTAGGTAAGCATTCACCTTAAAATCTCTTTTGTCTGATGTTAACATTGTTAAACTACTTTCTTTTGGTATTTCCTTAATATATATATTCTTTTCTATCTCCTACTTTCTATCCCAAGAAGCAACTGTAGTTCCCATCCAGCTCTGCCCTTGGGCCTAGACAAAGATGGGATACTTGACAATCAATAAAAGTAAAAACATACTGGGTGTGTTTCTGGCCATTATAATCTAAATTCATTAGTTTATAACGGAACAATAAGAACAAAAAGAATCCATTGGTCCCTCCTTTGGAGGCTGCTAGGGTCACTATGAGTCAGAGTCGACTTGACAGCAATCGGTTTGGTTTTGGGTTTAGGGAAACACCCCATTTTATTTAGGAATTAGTAAATAAGAGGAAAGAATCAAGCACTAGCTGCCTTTCCTGTGTGAACCATACTTCCAGGTACCCAGACAGTTGGTAAGAGGAAGTTTCTCTTTTATGGAAGCATTTCAGCTCACAAAAGAAGGCAACACAATGGAAGAAAAATGTCATACTGTGCAACCTCGAATTAAATAATCCATCAATCAGCAGGTCATGGTGGCTGCTGACCTGCCAGAAGAAGAAGCAACCAGACCTGTTAGGGGTGCACCACGCACCCCAGCTGTGACAATGCATGGCAAAAAAATTAAAAATCAAGCATGCACCTGATCAAGCATCTGATTTAACCAATTTACAGGAAAAACAGGGCTGAGAGGAACCCCTTAAATATCAACCACTGGGACGCAAAAGTAAAGTTCAGACTATGGGAACTCTACAGGACAAACAATGTGATATCTTCAACAAATGAACTGAAAGGAAAACACAGGGGCTTGGGGGAAGGGACAACTACAGATTTAAAGAGAGTGAGATTCGAAACCAGGCACAAAAGGACATATAGTGTGTAATCCCACTTACATGAACTATCTAGAATTGAAAAATTCATAGAGACAGAAAGACAGAGGTTACCAGGAGCTAAAATGAGGTGATACTGCTTACTGGGCACAGAGTTTCTGTTTGGGGTGATGAAAAGGCTTTGGAAACAATGGTAGTGATGGACACAAAATGATGATGATGATGATGATGATGATGATGATGTTGTTGTTGTTGCTGTTGTTGCTGGATGTCAATGAATTGATTCAGACTCATAACGACCCTATATGACAGAATAGAACTGCCCCCTAGGGTTTCTTAGGCTGTAATCTTTATGGAAGCAGATCACCAGGTGTCTTCTCCTCTAGACCCACTGGTGAGTTCAAACCACCAAGCTTCTGGTTAGCAGCCAAGTATTTAACCATTATGCCACCATGGCTCCTCTATAATAATGTTGTTGTTGTTGTTATATGCCGTCGAGTCAGACCCGACTCATAGCGACCCCTCCTTGGGTTTCCGAGGCAGTATCACTACGGAAGTAGATTGCCCCATCTTCCTTCCGAGGAGTGGCTGGTGGGTTTGAACCGCCAGCCTTCTGGTTAGCAGTCAAGTGTCTTAGCCACTGTGCTACCAGAGCTCCCAATAAAATAAAGAGACTTAGACTCACACCATTCCATTACAACGTATGGACTTTAGTAAGATCCTGATTTGAAACAACTATAGTAAAAAAAATTAACAAAGTTACTGGGGAAACTTTAACATTGGCTAGATATGTGATGATATTAAGAAGTTATTATTAATTTTTCGTTCTGCTGTGCATGGGGTCACTATGAGTTGGAAACGACTCGACACCACTTAACAAAAACAACATTATTAATTTTGGGGTGGGATAACATCGAGTACTTTTTTTAAAAGACTTCTTAGTTTTTTAGCTGTACACAGAGACATATTTATAGATCAAAAGATATCATGTCTGGAATTTGCCTCAAAGTAATCCTGGTTTGGGGAGGAAATTGGGTCAGGATAGAGTTGACACCTGAGCAGTTGGTGCATTGATTCATAATACTGATCTCTTAATTCTGTGTATGTTTAAAATTTTTTCATAGCTGTTGTTGTTGTTGTTATGTGCCATCAAGTCGAACCCGACTCATAGCGACCCCTCCTTGGGTTTCCGAGGCAGCATCACTACGGAAGTAGACTGCCCCATCTTCCTTCCGAGGAGTGGCTGGTGGGTTTGAACTGCCAGCCTTCTGGTTAGCGGTCAAGTGCTTTAGCCACTATGCTACCAGAGCTTCCTTTTTCATAGTAAAGTTTCAAAAATAACAGATTAAAAAAAAAAAAAAAAAAAACACTATAGTGCTAGGACCACTTACATTTGCCCTGTGCAGAGTACGTACCAGCATCAAAGGAGCCATCTTTGTTAACTGGCACAAGGATATGGGACAAGGAGCCTGAGCTGGTCTTCAAGGCCTCATCCAGCTTGAGCAGCTGCAGCCGGGGTGTGATGGTAGGTGGGAAGCGGTACAGCTGGAAGGTGAAATACACAGTCTTTGGCCACGGCGTTCCCCTGTGGTCCTGGGATACTCTGGATCCAACAACAGCTCTGAATTAATCAATTATCCATCACAGGAAACTAGGGCTCACACACTTGCATAGTGACACAGCCTGGGCCCTGCAAGTAGCAGGCAACATTAAGATGCCACCTTGGCCACCAGCATAAACAGCTTTGCTGAGCTCTTAGTGAGCAGCCAGAATCGAGTGCACCTCAGGCACGACACCTGCCCTGGCTGGTGAGCGTTGCTCCTAGAGCTGTACCACACCTGGACTGGCCGGCACACAGTCCACATTCTAACTAAGGCCCACTGAAAATCTAGCAAAGCACAATGTCAGAGGCTGTGCCTGTGCCCCCTAAAAATATGACTCCTAAAACCCAGACCTGTGGTTGTGATGCCATTTGGGAACAGTTTCCTATATTATGCAAATAAGTCATCAGTATAGCATATGCCTTAAACCTAATCATTTTTTTTTTTTAATTTTTATTGTGATTTGGGTGAAACTTTACAGAGCAAATTCACTTTCCATACAGCAGCTCACATACACTTTGTCTCATGACATTGACTGCAATTTCCCACGATGCAATAGCTCCCCTCTCCCTTCCTCCCCATAGTTACCTCTTCCCTGTGTCCTTCCCTTCTATGCACTCCTGCCCCCCAAGCTGTCTCCCTGTGCATACACAGCCCTTCTATTCTCCCATGATTGATCTCTCCAAGGAGTGTATCTACCCAATGTAAATGTTCAGCTCATATGCCTGTCTTTTGTTTGGCTGGAAGCCACAAGAGTGGGTCCAATTCCAGACATGAAGAGCAGCTAGGGGCCATAGCCTCAGGGGTTCTATCAGGCTTTATCAGATCAGCAAATCTAGTCCTTTTTTTGTAATGATTTTGAGTTTTGTTCCACACTGTTCTCCCATTCTATTCAGGATCTCCTACACAGATCCCCCTCCAAGTGGTTGACAGTGGTAGCTCAGCACCATCTAGTTCTTCTGGCCTTATAGTTGTACAGGCTGAGGATCGCGTGGTGTACCAGTCACTTGGACTAATTGTTTCCATGTGTCTTTGGTTTACTTCATTCTTCTTTGCTCTGGACAAGGAGAGACCCATTGTTGCATCCAGATGGCCACTTGCAAGCTTTTAAGATCCCAGTTGCTACTTGCCAAAGTAGGATGTGGAACAAGGTTTTGTGTGGTATGCTATGCCAATTGAGCTTGATGACCCTTGCCACTATGGTCTTGAGTTTGCTGGCCCAACTACTTGCTCCCCCTCTGGGTAGTTGGCTGTGGCCAAGAAGTGACAACATCCTTGTCCCTTGTCAGCTCTACTATATACCTGGGAATTCTTACAGAACATACAAATACATTTGTAGAAACACTGTCTGCCAACCCTATACATGGTCTTGGGCACACTGCCCCCTGCATATCCATACCTGATAGTTCAGCCTGTCTACCCATCTATCCACCCATACATCAATGTTTGCCTTCACCGACAACACAATACTGTATGTACAAAAGGCTTCATCTTTGTTGTCTATACCACCCATGCACTTTCTATGTCTTCCTCTTCCTCAATGCCACTGTGTTGATCATTCACATCTGGTATATTGCCCATCTCTTCAACCAAATCAGTATTTGTCACTACCTATCTAGCAGTGTTCCCTCCCTTCCCTTCCCCTCCCCTCCCAGCCTTGGTAACCAATAAAGAAAACTTCCTTCCATATATAAACCTTTCCTTAACTTTTTATAATAATGGAATAATACAATATTTGTCCTGTGATTGATTTATTTCACTCAGGATAATGTTGTACTGTACAAGTTCGTCACGTTATGCGGTGTTTTGCTGATTCTACATTATTCTTTAGGGTTGCATAGTATTCCATTATGTATATGTACCATAGTTTGGTTATCCATTCTTCTGCTGATGGACAACTATGTTGTTCCCATCTTTTGGTTACTGTAAATAGTGCTGCGATGAACATGGGTGTGCGTGTATCTCTTGTTGTCTTGGCTCTCACTTCTTTAGGATATGTAACTAGTAATGGAATGGCTGGGTCAAATGGTATTTCTAATTCCAGCTTTTTAAGGCATCTCCATACTGCTTTCCACAGAGGTTAAATCATTTGACAGTCCCACCAGCAGCGTATCAGAGTCTCAATCTCTCCACATGGACACAGAGAGCTCTGCCAATCAGAGCCACATAGAAGTTTCTGTTCAACATACCAAGAAATGTGCAACCCAGGCAGAGAGTGGCACAGAAAGAATACTTAAGAATTTACCTGCTGAGCATCCTCCTTAAAAACTGGGGTGGGTAATAATAGAAATAAAAAAGGAAATTAAAAAATTGCTTGAATCAAGATTTGAGCAGTAATAAATGAAACAGAAAATAGAAAGACAATAGAAAAAAATCAACAAGACTAGAAGTTCGTTTTTTAAAAAAATTAATAAAATTGACAAAACACTGGCAAATTTAACAAATAAAAAGACATAGAGAATACAAGCAACACAAATAAGAAACAAATTGGGTGATGTCACAATAGAACCAACAGAAATTAAAAGGACAGTATCAGGATACTACGAAGAACTGTGCTCAAAAAATTTGAAAATCTAGAAGAAATTGACAGATTTCTAGAAACATATTATTTTCCTAAACCAACACAGACTAAGGTGGAAAACTGAAGAGACCCATAACAAAACAATAAATTGGGTCATAAAAAAATTACCAACAACAAAAAAAAAAAACCTGGCCCAGATGGTTTCACTGGAGAATTCTACCAAACATTCAGAGAAGAACTGACACCAATCCTACTCAAACTATTCCAAAACAAAGAAAAGGATAGAATCCTCCTTAATTCATTTTATGAAGCAAGCATAATCTTGATACCAAAACCAGGCAAAGACATCACTAAAAAGGGAAACTACAAACCAATATCTCTCATGAATATACATGCAAAACTCTGAACAAAATCTTAGCCAATAGATTCCAACAACATATCAAAAAAATAATACATTATAACCAAGTGGAGTTCATACCTGGTATGCAAAGATGGTTCAACATTAGAAAAACAATCAACGTAATTCATCACATAAATAAAATAAAGGAAAAAAATGACACAATCATATCACTCAATGCAAAAAGGCATTTGATAAAATCCAACACCACTTCCGGATCAAAACTCTCAGCAAAACAGAAATAGAAAGGAAATTTCTCAACAAAATAAAGGGCATATAAGCAAAATGAACAGTCAACATTATTCTCAATGGAGAGAAATTTAAACCACTCCCCTTGCAGACAGGAACCAGACAAGGATGCCCTCTATCACCACTTCTATTCAACATTGTATTGGAAGTCCTAGCCAGGGCAATAAAGCAAGAAAGGGAGATCAAAAGCATCCAAATTGGAAAGGAAGAAGTGAAACTATCCCCATTTGCTGGTGATATC